TGCGCTGCTTGGACACCAAAGACACCAGGTGGTTTTGCCCGCGAAGGTGCCGCTTGGTGAGTGTCTCACCGTTGAGACATTTGGCGTGTCGCTCGCGTCGTTGAGACATTGCTTCGATTGGTGTCGCCCTTTGGACACTGAATGGTCGCAAGGTGGAGGGATTGAGCGGCTGTGACGATTGAAACACCGAAGATCGGGGAGTGCGACGTGCGACCACTCGGAGCAGAAGTGCGACTGCAATTTTCTGCAACATGTGCGGTGAAGCTCGGAACATGCGGGCACAAGCTCGAGCATTTTTTCTCTAAGCATATGGTTTGGATGGGGTAAACCGTCATACCAGATGCCAGATGCTGTTTCCACTCAGATTGGTAACGCACTCAAGACTTGTGAAGCCAGGTCTGTCCACCTGTTTGTGCGAGACTGCCTGACCATGCCACACTCAATAGAGGCCAAGCGCCAGCCATGGTTGTCCCATCCTAGGTGCTGCTTTGTCTGCTTGGAGCAGTGCAAGCTTTCCTGAATTCTGAACCACGTCCTGATGCGTCATGTCTTCTCAATGAAAACTGGAGAATGGTGGTGCCCGGATCAAAAACATGCCGCTTAGAGTCCAAAGAAGCATTTTCTGTCTTTTGGCTGACAGACTGACAGTAATTTTTCTGGAGTTCTCTGTGTTTCCTGCCTAGTGATTTTTGCCCTTCTCGGGGGCTCAAAGCAGATAGCTGCCCCTTCGGCGGCCCTCGACGATTACTTCAGCCTCTCGCCCCGCAGAGCAGACGCGTCTTTCGAGGTGTGGAGCCTGGAGCCTCGCGCCGCTCACCGTGGTCCAATGATGAGGAACACTAGCAAATGCTGACGACGCTGGACGCCGCTCGACCTCGCTGCGCTCCTCGGAGTGCGCAGCCTGCGCGTCGCGGCTCGTTGAGCTCAGAGAGAAGATGAGTTGAGCTCGGTGACCAGTTAGCGCAGGATTCGCAGACATCACAGGATTTGAGAAGACTTGCTCTGTGGGATTTGGTTTTGGAGTGCCGGCGGACGGCCCGTGTTTCCTGCTTCGCTTCCTTTTTGTGGGTGCATGGAGTGCATGGAGCGCATGGGTGAACGTGAACGCCTTGCCTGCTACGGCAGCAATCCCTTGCAGATCACGAATGGTAGCGCCGGCTGCGCGCAAGCTGCGCGTTTTGGCGCTGCGCGTTTTGGCGCTGCGCGGTGGCGCTGCGCGCCTGACGCTTTGCTTGCTTCACATGTCGACAGGGCCGGATCCGAGGAATTGGGGTGCTTTTCAGTCAAGCTGCTCCACGGCGCGACCGAGGTTCCAACACCTGACGGGACGTAGCGACCGACCTCGAGCAAGCGTTGGGCGCGTGCCAGGCCGTCGGCGCGGTGGTGTTCGTGTAGAAGAAGCTGTCCAGCTCCCCTCCCTCAAGTTGGCTCCTTCGGAGACAGACATGACATGGTGCACAAGCGCTCCAAGACTAGCCTCTCAAGTTCTGCAGGACCTGGACCTGGAAGCGCAAGTGGCTGTTTTAGCAGCGCAAGTTGCGCTGTGGTCCAAACAAGCTGTAGATTTTAACGACATATCCCATATCTTTTTTCAGTCAAGCATGAAGCAGGCACGTTTGGCCAGATGCAAAATCCACCTGGATTCATTCTGGTTATTGCCAACTGTTCTTCAAGCTGGCTTGTTTGCCAAGTTTTCTCGTCACAGCACTGTGTCAGCCAGCAGTTCTGAGAGTACTGCCCCCAAATGCCTTCGTTCCTATACATGACATGTGTGACCATACCATTTGATGTGGAACCTGCAAGCCAAATTGACCAATTCCCTGGGCTCTCCATTTGCGAGGAGATTCAATTTTGACTGCGCTGCCTGCATTTACATTTGGATAGTAGCCAAGGCTGCACTAGGCTGCACTGAAAAGGTTGTGCTACCTTGGCTACTTCACATCAACCATCCTCTTCCTTTAGGCCAGAGTGATGCCGGGCATGCCTGGATGTTGCCGCGAAGGGAAGCATTCCTTCTCTCTCGGCGGCAGCAAGCTTTCTGCAGGACGGTCACTATTTGCAGGATTTTGAGCGCTTTGATGAACATTTTGGGGACCTCTCCATCGTGAAAGTTGGCTTTTGCAGCACTTCTTCTGACGCGTGTCGGATTAGCAGGCAGACCTCGACGTACTGTCGTTGGCAGCCCTGGGCGTGTTGGATGGTTGCAAGTCTGGCCGCAAAAACGAGCCATGGCGGCTGCAACTATCATGGAGACCAACAGCAGGTCCTGCTGCAGCCAAGAGCGTGGCTGAGCTTTGTGATATTAATCTTGGAGGTGAATGTGACATGGCATCGTAATCAGCAACTGACTGGGATTGCATACTACTCTCTATGTGCACCTGGTGACAGATGGTTAGACATTTCGGTGCTTGCTTCGGCCCCGTTCGAGAAATGAAGGACTCCGGATCCTGGTGAAGTCTTTTGAAGCGTCGCAAATCCGACGAAACGTGCCATGCAGTGAACTTCCGCACCATCATGTGTTTGTTTGGCCAAAGCCCTTTTGCGCGCAGCTTCGGACTGAAACACCACGTTGCTTCTGCGGACGAATGAGTTCTCGTCCAAGTTGAGTTTTGGTTTCACTTGGTTTGCCTGATTTCCGAGTAGTACAACCGGTTGAGCACCCGAGAAGACTCATATCGAGGTCTTTACATTTCGCTCTGATTCTGTCGAAGGTTTCGGAGAACGGCCCGGGTACACCCAGCAAGTTCGGCGCGAGTGCTTCGGCCCGGTTTCTTGACTTGGCACGTTCTCCTGCCCGAGTGACTCAGCTGCGGTTTCCAGCTGTACCAGCGCCACTGCTGACCGTTCTGTCCGGTGCTGACCGCCGTTGCGCCGAACTCGGTCGGTCTCCGCCTCTCCCGGTGGAGCCGCCCGTGGCGGCCGCCCCGTGGCGGCCGTCCGTGCGGCTGCCCCTCCGCTCCGCTCGATAAAGGTCCGCGAGAAGACGGGGAACGCGAACCGGAAGGCACGGGCGGAAGGAACCGGCGCGCCGGTCGTTTTCGCCTCCGTCCGCCCTTTTGAGCTGAGCTAAACTCGGAGGATGGGAGGCTCTGAACGGGACTGAGTCGATGATGTGACGTGTCTCCTGAAGGGTCTACGAAGAAATCGTAGCTTCTTCGGCTGCTTCCAATCCACAGGCAGATTCTGCGAAGTCCGACGCCCACAGGCTTCTTCATAGAGATGGGCAGAAAAAGGATTCTCCAAGGAAGCCATTCTTGTCATTGACCTTCATCACTGACCTCAATGAAGTGGACCAGATTTAAAACGAACCTAGGAGCTCACAACGTAGATGGAGAAATTCAGCAATGAGCCTTCAAAAGGTTGGAGGCGGGATACAGCATATCCCATCGCTGTCACATGAACACCACCTGCAAAGAAGCGCTGTAAACATTTGCAGACTCTGTTGCCAGGTTGGAGCACCAAGAGTTTTGGCCAAGACTGCAAACGCTGTTTCCAGGTTGGAGCACCAAGAGTTTTGGCATAGATCAAGTGCTTTCTCCAGGTCAAGGGCGCTTTGGTTTACTGAGAAGAAGTGCAGGAATGTGCCTCACAAACCTTCGAGCCACTTCGAATGTTCAGCCTGGAATTCGAGCATTTTCCAGTTGAGGTCAGAGCATTCAGGGCTAAAACTGTCTCCCTGGGAATGACCCAGTTGTTTGCAATGAATCGGAGACGGCCTATGTGTCTTCAGTCTTGAGATCAACAACTAAACACGTGTTCTCCTGCCCAGTCCTTTGCAATCCATCTTCATTCTCTTCCCGGCCAAGTTGTCCTCAAGATCGGCGAACAAAGATGAGAAGCTCAAAGACTACTGTAGGGGTTGGACGTTGAGACAGTTACCGATGCCGCTGTTCTTGGGGACCTTCAAGGGAAACTGGATTTTGCCACTGTTATCGGCCAGGTTCAGTGTCATGAGTGACCAGTTCGATCAAGTCGCGAGGTCTTCTGCGCGTCGCAAAGGCACCGTCCTCGACCACGTGGTGATCGTCACTTGTGTCATACAAAAAGGACCATCAAGGGTACTTGAGTCTACTCTTAGAAGTGCAGCTTCATGTGCGTTTTTCGGCCACCTCGACTGTCCGAGCGAACTCGCTGCAGCCAAGCTAAACACTGTCGATAGCTAGCCAGGACCCAGATAGCTATGTGGCTTCAGTTTTGAGATCAACACTCCCATTTTCTACGAATAAACATCAGAACCTGTATGCGGAGGCAGTGACAGGTCCTTTGTCCTTGGGGACCTTGATTCAAACCGATGCAGTTCCTGCACCAGATACTGGTTGTTCGAATTGTCTCCCACCTGATCCGACAAGTCACTGACTTTGATCGAATCTAGACCTTTCCAATAGCCGATGATAGCTTTGATTCTGCAAGACTAGCCGCAACTTGCCAGTACAGTATATTGTTTTCCTTTGTCCATCGACTTTCCTTACTCCAGTTCTTGGGAAGTTGTGAAGGCCATTTGTCAAGACAGATTGCCACATTAGGCAGGAGGCATCATCTAAAGAGAAGCGACATTTGCTGGCCCAACTTTTCTTGAAGTCTTTGTGACCCAATCCACTGGCAGACAAAGTGTGGTTGGCCTGACGCCGAACTTTGCTTCAGCCCAAGAAGGATGCAATACATATATGTCCGATCCCATTTCGACAACAAAAACTGAGGACCTGGATGCTGAGACACTGACAGATCTGTTGTCCTCGGGGACCTTCCTCCGAACTGATGCAGTTCCTCGTGCACCAGATAGTCGTTCTTCGGATCGTCCCTCACCTGATGCAACAAAGTCACTGAATTTGATGAAATCTAGACTTTTCCAATAGACAATAATAGCTTTGATTCTGCAAAGCTAGCCAGTACAGTAGATTCTCTTCTTTTGTCAGCCGACTTTTTAGGAAGTTGTGAAGGCCATTTGTCAAGACAGATTGCCGCATCAGGCAGGAGGCATCATCTTAAAGAGATGCGACATTTGCTTGGCGGCCGAGCTTTTCTTGAAGTCTGCGTGTCCCAATCCACTATCACACAAAGTGTGGTTGGCCTTGAACGCTTTTCACCCAGAACCTCGTCACATCCGCGCTTTCATCACCGACATGATCCGTCCGCCACGAGGCGCCCGAGACTTCACTCGACTCGACTCGACGTCATCACGTGGCGCAGACCAGGACCGCGGTGCCGAGAAGAACGGTCTACACTGCGGCGGGGGCCGTTCGAACAGAGGAACACCCTTTGGGTCTGGAAGCGCATGGTGCTGGAATCAAAGAAAGCTGCCTTGCGGGGCTGCGGTGCGGTGAAATGAATGGCTAGAAACGCCATCTCCAAGGTGTGGTTTTTGTGATAGTAGCCATTTCCCTTTTCAGGCGACAACACCAAGTCAGAACCCCAAGGATCTTTCGGTGCAAGCTGACGAAGCATGACGTGGGCCCATGAATGCGAAGCGGTGAGTCAGTGTGACACCGTGGACAGCGGTGGGTTGATACTCCGAAGAGCAAGCCGTCACTGACATGCCAAGGTTGGCACCAAACCAGCCAACATCAAGCCATCTAAGCTTTTTGTTTTACAGAAGAGCAATTCACTGGACAGTTGGACTGATGGCCATGGTCAGTCTGACAAATCTAGGAAGTGCTTTGGAAGACATTTCCAGTTTTCAGCAGTGAGTGGTGAAGCTGTGAGTGGGTCTGTGCGCAAAAGGGTCCGTCAGCGGGTTCGTCTGCGCCGACCCAAGACGCCCGTCTGGAGGAAACCAAACGAATGGCCCCGGGGCACCCGTCGGGACGTACATACCTGACACGTACATACCTCTCGGCCAATTGGACAAATAGCACAGAAACTCACACAATTACCAACCACGTATGGCGGTGTCCTATTATGCGTATAGCTGTGAAGGGCATTTATCAAGGCAGATTGTAAAGCCAAGCAGCATTCTTCCGTGGAACAGGAGCCGATTTTGCTGTCCAAGAACTCTTTTGAAGTCCCCTGTGACCAAATCCACCACTGGACGGAAAGTTCTCTAGCTCAAGGCCCTGCTTTACATCAATCCTGACAGTTGCAACGTCCAATTATCCATGTGCCGCGAAACTGGCAACAAGCCATGGGCCCTTCTTACAAAAGACTTTTTTTTGTATCACTTTTGCGGAAGCGATGAATCATCTGGTACGCACCCGACGATAAAGTCAATGAGCAGGTTTGCTCCATGCGTTTGTCCGGCGCGCCATTCAATCAATCAATCGATAACTTTGCCTTTGTAGGAACTACTCTTTGCTGGAACGTTATTTGCTACTGGGAAATGGCACCGAAATACAAACAATTACCAACCATGTATGGCAGTGTCCGACTATATGCAGGCGTGAAGGGCATTTATCAAGGCAGATTGTAAAGCCAAGCAGCATGCTTCGGTGGAACAGGAGCCGGTTTTGCTGGCCAAGAACTCTTTTGAAGTTCCCCGTGACCAAATCCACCACTGGACGGAAAGTTCTCTAGCTCAAGGCCCTGCTTTACGTCAATCTTGACAGTTGCACTGCCCAATTGAGCAGCGGCGCCGCGAAACTGGCAACACGCCATGGGTCCTTTGTACAAAAGACCGCTCTATCACTTTTGCGGAAGCGATGAATCATATGGTACCTATGAATCCGGCCACAAAGTTAGTCAAGAGGTATGTTTTTTTGGGTTGTACATCACGCCAGACAAAAAGGGAGCGGAAACGCATCTCGAGGAAACTCAATTGTGTGCTGGAAGCAGGCATCATCAGTTTCTTTCGTATGATATGCCACTTAGAACGAAAAAGATAGCGCGCGGGGATTTGGAATAAGTAAGGCTGGCGTCTGTGTTTGTAACTGTGCTGTTTCGTGAAGCCGAATTCGGGTCATTTGTACAAGAGCGTTTCAAGACATGGCATCAGTACCTCAAAGAGACACCCAGAAGTCTTTCGATTTCAGGCTGCAGAAAGACCTGGACTGCGCCTGTTATCGTCACTCAGGTCCTTTTGGCGTTCATCGTGTCCGTGTCATCTCAGCTTCCGTTCCATTTCGTTCCTTTCGAAGCGGAAGCGAGAGCATCTGAAGCGTACATCTGGTGTTCTTTGGGTTCTGCAGTTCTGCATTTGCCACACTGGGGTGAACTCAGACGTGCTTCTCCGTGAAAAAGGTCTATCTCGGATTGGTATTTGGAGCGCTTTGAGTGCGACCCGTGAAATTCAGGACTCCGCACTCGTAGCTAGCTTCTCCACGAACGTCACAGGTTCGAAGGTGCCGATCTCCGGCGCGAGGGGAGCAATTCTGCGCGAAACTCGAGGACCAAGCAGATCGTCCAACGCCTTGGAGCTGCGTGGCATACGCCGACTGGAGTCCGACCCAGTCGCTGTTGGCCACTGGCTCAAGGATCATTGAGCTTAATGTCTTTTCGAGGACCAAGAAAGGTCGAGCAGTTGAGCTGTTGAGCTTCAGGTTAAGTCCTCCAAGTGGCCGTGTTTGGCTTCGAACTGAGAACGAAGACGTAGCGCATATATGCACCTGTCCGCGCACCACGCGAGGGTGACGTAGTACTGACGCCGACATGTCAGGTGTCTCAGGTGCGCCTTTTTTTCGCATCCCGCCATCTGCGGCCCTAGTGCATTTGCATGTTCATTTGCTACTGCCACATGTGTGGGCTAGTGTGGTCATCATCAGTGTGCTCAAGGCCTGCACCAGCGTGTGGTGCCACAAATCTATCCTTTTGTACGACTGACCCACACAGCCCACCCAGCAGATTTCCCTAGACATAGGTAGGACCCAGCAGAATTCCTTTTCGCCAGATGCAAGTAACAACTTATCACAGTGGAACCAGTTGAAAGGCATTGATGTAGCCACCTTGACAATTGACACGTCCATCTAAGTCCCACGACTGTTGTTCCCCATTGCATATTTCATGATCTGAGGAGAGTTCTTTCCTGTCGACCATCATGCTTGTAGTGCCGCTTGAAGCCCTTCGTGGAAGCTGCTTTAAACGAATTGGCTCATGTCGATGGCAGGGAAGCATAAACATGGAAATCCGAAGTGCTTGGAGTGCTCTCAATCAAATGATTGACATCAACAGATAAGTTGAATGCTTAAGCACTTGGGCAGTTTGCAGTGCCTGAAGCACTCACGCTGGGCTGCTCAGCTGACAAAGCTCAGCCGTTCCACAACCACAATACCTGGGCACAGTAGTACCAGTGCGGCGGGGCAATATGGAGAGGAGCAACATGTAGAGAAGCGACCATGTCTCATGATTTGTACTTGACTTGTGTCGAAATGCTTCTAAACACAGCACTTCAGAAAATAGTGAATAGATCCAACATACATGCTATGAATGTCGATAGGAACAGTACTTGTCGTTGTATTTGGTGTTGTACTTTGGCTCAAGGACTCAGCTAGCTATACTCCCAACATGTTGTGGTTTATATATCTCTAATTGTTGATGTATTTACAGCCTTCGGCATGCCGCCGGCCACCAGCTCGAGCCCGCATTGGCAGGCAGCTTAATGATACAATACCCTGCTCAATCATACTTGTTGGTGCATTGGAGGTGCACATTTGGCTGGGTGAGTTTGTTGATGTTTATTTCAAGGTTGTTTGACCATGAAATGGAACGAATCCGAATCAGAGGTTGTCTATTCTGATCCAGCGATCCGAACCGGCATGTCTCAGTCGAATCACCTAAGAGGAACCAAGTGAAACCAACACAAGCAATGCGAACCAAGACTATCCACAAAACATCCTAGGCCTTCCAAAGTTCAAAAAATTTTATACGATTGGGATTTCTGTACGTTTGGAATGATTGGAACGCTTCATGTGTAATCTGAACGTTTCCACGGAAAACTGAACGGCGGTCTTTTTTCAATTCCTTCCTGACAGGCTTCCAAGAGGATTCCTCTAAAGGTTCAGCATTGCAAATTGCTGACTGTAAAGTCCTAAGCACTTCTCAAGCGTTCTAACTGTTTGTGTCCAGGGATGCGTGGATCGAGCCGTTCGGGAAACTCTTCCCACGAAGTCTTCGTCCGACCACGTCGCAGCCAAAGACCCCAAGCACATTGCCTGAAAAAGACATACGTATGGTACAACTCATTCCCTTCAGCCTAGGCACACCATGGGTTCAGGGCAGTGGGGTACTGGATGTCCAAAGGAATGTGGACTCCAAGGTGGTATTTGGGCCTGTACTTGAAGAGCTGCATGCCAGCACGGTGGGTCTCACTGGCAAGAGCTGCGTAGGCCACCTAGCCAACTTGAAGCAAAGAGGAAACTATGTGATCATGCATGTTGTTTCCCTTAAACACGTACCGTATGTCCATAGAGTGACTCTGGAAGGGCCCAGGTTGTGTAAGCGTGGCTGGATAGTGCCCCCACACCGCTAACGTTTCTACCCAGTCACATTCATCTCATGGCCAGCCGTGCGGGCAATGGTGCAGATGTTGCCCTTCAGCAGGACACCTTCCTTCCGCAGCACTTGGAAGAATGCATTGGCGCACTTGATCATGTAAAAGTCCAGCTGCAAAAGCCGATCATGGGGGTCCACCTGTCAAGGACTTTGTCAGGTCCCGAACCCACAGGATCATATGCATATACACATATCACTTCAAGAGAAACCCCTAGATGGAGCCTCCGATTTGGCTAGGTCCTCTTCAAGCCACGTCATGACAAGGGCTGTGTCATAGGCTTTGCCCCCAATGGTTGTCGGAAATCCTTTCCTGAGCGCCCAATGAAAATAGCTGTCAAACCATATTGAGGAAACTCCAGACTACCATTTTGAAGATCAACTACAATGGGGGGCTCCACAAAAACCGGCATATATGATAAGTTTCTTCCCCATTGCAAAGGACTGCTTTGAGAACTCATCGATGGAGGTAAATCTCGAGTTGAGCTTGCACCACAAATCAAACCGAGCATAGGCTTCAGCCAAGTTGTCACCCAACTTGCGAGCATTGCCAAAATGGCCACGGTTACACAAAAGCACTATAGATGAGGCAGCTGCGTCCATGCCATACCCGATGTGGTAGATGTGAAGAAAATCCAACAATATGTACTTGGGGTCATGGCAGCCTGGAACATGATGTAGCGGCGCGAATCCCTTGTATGGCGAAGGCCCTGTACCGCCACTAAACCATGCAGCGCTTTCTGTTGGGTTCTCCCATTCCTCCAGGGTTCGATTGAATGTCAACATCCAGCTGACATTGTGTCAAAAGTCTGGAACCCATAAGTTGTGGATAGTTGTGGTACTTTCTACTCACTGAACAGGAAAACTGCACGCATTGCTTGTCCTCAGAGTTGCATCTATGACAGATACGCTTCGATGTGAACCCTGTGGATAGAGCAAAAGCCTGAGTCATCAGTACCACAATCTTCCAAAGAGGTCTTATCCCAAAAACGCCAAAGGTGTTCAGGGGCACCCAGAAAAATGTTTTGATGTTAAGCTCAAACACCTTCCGCAGGAACGGCCAATCTCCTTTGGCGCCGCAGCATACCAATCTGAGTTTGGTGCCGCCAACATCCTTGGAGAAGGCAGGGGCAGGAGATGATAGGGTACACGAAAAAGGCACACTTTTGTTTGAGGGTTCATGCTATAAAGGTTCAAAGTGTATACCAATAGGAATCTAAGAGTCACCAACACCTGAGTAGAAAGCTTCCAATGCTTGTTTGGCAAATTCCGTCATGATGTCATCGATCGTCCAGGTTTGATAGTACAAATGACTTGAAATTCCGGTGAAAAGCCATCTTGAGCAAAAGGAATGCCTTAGATCGCATAGTCTTGTTGGTCCAGCCAACTTATGACCCAACAACTTCACCTTTGGTGGTGTACAAGTGCACGCACAGCCACCCACACAAACCTGCACATGTATGAAGTACAACACATGCCCAACATGTCTACACACGAAAAGGCACAATGAGGAAAATGCACTCCAATCAACACCAAATTGCGTAGTATCGTTGACGGTTTGTGGGCCTTGGTGCCCGATCAAGCACTGCCACGACAATACCATATATGGGCGCTTCAACTGCCCACGCCCCTCATCTCCATGGAG